TGAGCACAAAGAGACTTTTAGATGTTGAGCAGTTGTTTTATATTTATTTGCACTAAATACTCAAATTTCTCTCGTAGGCAGACAATTGCTTTTCTTTTTTGAATGCTATCTTGTTATCAGTTATGTTTAACTACCTGCTGTCAGGGCCATTGTAATTAAACGGCCGGACAGCGGCTTCTTGAGGGCGGGTGGGCGTCTTTAGACGTCCTATCCCGTTCCGCTCGTGCCCGCCGCTAGGAGGCAGGCACGAGCGGGAAACCGGCTTTGAATGTAAATAGCCAGCGATGGCTGTTTAGATACAAGCGTTCGGCCGTCTGTAGAGACGCCTGATCGCTTGCAATATACGGTCGGGTGTGCTGCCCCCCCCCCCTCCGTCGCCGGCGCTGCTGGCAATCCCGGGCTCCATTGTTCCCGGTGTGAGCCCGGGACCAGCACAGCAGCTCTACGGCCGGACATCAAGCAGTAAAAGCTTTTAAAGCGTCGGCTATGGTCAATTTTGAGCATGGTAGTTTTTTGCGATTTAACTGGTGCACGCAATTTTAAAGCGTGGCATGTTTGGTGTCTATTTACCCGACGTGACCCCGTCTTTTATATTTTACCAAAAAATTGGGTAATAATAAATGTTTTATAACATAACGTAGGGAGAACAGTTTTTTTTCAAAATTATCGGTACTTTTTTTATTATACAGTTAAAAAAAAACCCCCGTAGTGGTGATTAAATACCACCAAAAGAAAGCTCTATCTGTCCCCAAAAAATGGTATACAATTAATTTCAGCACAGCGTTGCATGACGGAAAAAATGTCAGTCAAAGTACTGCAGAGCTGAATACTGAAAAATGGCCGACAGGAAGGAGGTATAAACACCCCGGTCAGCAAGTGGTTAATGGAAGTAAAAACACAGCTATCCGCTACAATGCAATGGCACTGTAACTCAAGTTCTTACTTACAGGCACCTGTATCAGTATATTGTTTTTTGACAAACTGGCAGAAAAACTAATACTCCACATCACATTTCCATTTCCTACAATCACAAAGGCCTTGCTTGCAATGCTGTGGTTTCTGAGTATGTTCATGGCAACATTAATCATTGCAGATTGCATGATCTGATCCAAAAGTGGATACGCTAATTTAACAGAGATTCAAAACAGGGTCTCTAAAACAAACAGAGATGCAACATTTATTTCTAAATATACTCCATTCCAACTGAGTGACAATATTACATATGACACTGGGCAATACATTATAAAAGTTATTTATTTGCACTGGGTAGGCATTATACTTGTACTTCAAGCCAAGTTCCCTTTATGGAAACATTTTGATCCAAGCTCTTTACATTTTAGGAATTGTTTTATCTCATGCAGGGACGTAACCTGAGATTAAACACATTTCTCCTTGGGATAGACCTTCTCTTTTTAGCGTTAAAAAAGAGTATTACATGTTAAACATATCACATATGTTTGACTGACTTTACTTTCCTCCACTAAGACACCACTGGTGTCTGTTTTCTCTTGTGGCCAGTTCAGCTTCACCTACTCTATATAAAAAGCCACAGGTGCATCCCTCTTGTTGTAGGAGATCTATTTCAATTCTCTAGTACCCAAGAACTTTCTCTAAAAGGTTGCTCCAAATATGTATTACCTTCCCCAATCTCACAACACAAAGCCAACACCTCAGTGATTGGTCAAGGAGGAGAAATATTTAAAATTGTTGGTTCATACTCCAACAATGGGAGCTTCCACAACTGTTGCAGGCATAAGTAATCAATAACAATCATAGGTACACAATCATCATAGCACTGCCTACAGTCTAGGTATATCTAACAGACACATAATAAACGAGTGATACTACTGCTTAAAACATTGCCCCTACATACAGAACTAGAATGAGATCCAGGAAGGTTTTGGGAATCCTTATAGATGTGCATTCTGCTTTCCACAGTTGGCTGTTTGGAATCATATGGGATGACTGTCAGGGCTTAACTTTACTCATGCAGGGGATGCCTTCCTACATCCAAATGATAAGGAGATGGCAGTGCAGCAGATACAGTAAATCACTCATGGCACTAGAGACATTTAGTAAAACAGGTCTATAGAGCACATACATCCTTGTTCTTAGCCCTGGTCTGTGTTTGCAGTGCAGATGCAGACAACCTGAACATGATAGGTATTTGGTATTTTTGGATATATTAAAAAAAGATAAAGTGTTTTAAAAGTACACTTATCCTTTAGCCACTTGCTGACCACAGCAATGTCTTGATATTTGCACACAAGTGATAAAAATCTGACTTTTTGGCTAGAAAATAGCTTTAGACCCCCAAACAATTATATATTTTCTGAAGGCAGAGGCCCTGTAGAATACAAAAATGCTAGTTGCAATGTTTTATGTCCCACAGTATTTGCGCAAATGTTTATCAAACCAGTATTTTTAGGATAAAGTACACTAAAATGAACTTTAGTGCACAGAAACAGAATATAATACCCAATTTGTTGGTAAAATATAAAAGGCGCTTTACCCCCACGATATAAAATGTATAAGCGTCATGGCCCCAAACTAATACCACACATTATATGCTGCAACGTATATTCAACAGCATGTCCAGATGTATGTAATGCGATTCCTTAGTGGTTGATTGTTTCCCCTTATATGTCTGTATATGTAATGTTTTCCTTGTACTCTTATTTGAAAACCTGTTTCAATAAAAACTTATTGTACAAAAAAAATATAAAAGGCGGGGTCATGACGGGTAAATAGATACCAAACATGTCAAGCATTAAAATTGCGTACGTCTGTGAAACCGTAAAAAACGACAACACCCAAAATTTCCCATAGGCGACGCTTTAAGATATTTTACTGCTTAGCAGTTACCAGTGATTAATGGTCCTAGAATTATTGCTCTCACTCCGACGATCGTGACAATATGTAACATGTGTTGTGCAATTTTCGTTTTTGCATGTAGGGGGACAGCGGAGCCCGGGGAAGCTGGAGGTTGCCGAGAGGGGGCACACAACGCCGCACCGTACAAGCAATCTGATGGCTGTAAAGCCTTTGCATTGCTAGCATTTAAACAGTAATCATCTGCTGTTTAAAATTATACCAAGGACAGCTGTGTTCATGGTATAACTGCTTCACGACAGGACTTTTTTTACGTCGGGCGGTCCTGCAGTGGTTAATTTAATCAAAACACATATATATTTTGCAAGCTTCTCACAGGAGCTTGGGGCCAAAAAACTATTGGCACATGATTCCATGTCCACAAAAAAGATAGTGAAAAAAAATTCTGTATCCTCACAAGTTTAGAATCGGGTATTAATAGGATGATAATACTAGTAACCATTGGGATGTAACTAACACAGTAACCAGGAGCATGGATTAATGTTGGAGCCATTTAGCAGATGGCAGCCGGTGTCATTTTAGTCAATTTATAGTGACTTTGTTGCCAGACCATTCACCTCCCTTTTGCAGGCATCGAAAGGAAGATGAATGGAAGCCAATATCTTGCATGTGATGTGAGCAGCCGCAGCAAAACTCAGAGCTGTCACCCAAGTGATATTTGTTCCTCTTAAAAGCAGCTACATAAAAGATTATGTAGGTAGGTAAATAGAGGGGCGGAGGAGCTGGTGCAGCTCAAACAGTAATTAGACACTCCCAGAAGAAGAGAGGGCTATGACATGCAAGGAGGGAGCTGTGCTAGGCTGTTCATGGAGTAGTCACATTTTTAAATAAGTTGAACCCCATAACGACCCATGACCGGATAATTCCGTCATGGGTCTTTAAGGGGTTAAAACAGACTATGTTCGTGTATGTAGAACAGGCGGCCAGCTTTACAGTAGAAGAGATTCTGGCAACTCAGCTGTCGCCAGATCGCTTCTACGGGCCATGTTTCCCAGGCTCTGCTGCCCCTCCTGCGAGCGTAGGACCAGCCATCCGTTCACCAATCTCCTCCACATTCTATGGGACGATCTGCACTTCAATAGCTTATTTAGAGTGTAAAGGTGATACTAGGGGTTTTTTGGACCACTGGTATCACCTTAAAGAGCGCCTATCACCACCAATATGCTATCACATGGGGGGCTAACAATCCCTCTTATGTAATAGCAATTAAAGTTAAACAAAAAAACAGTTTTCAAAATAATATTTAATAAATAAAAAGTAAAAATCATTAAAAAAATTAAGTCCCACACCCCTGCGTCTTCACATAAACATGTCCTGGGTGCGCCTATGTATGAAACCAACGATTGCGCTACACATGTTGGGTATCGCCGCACACACCGAAGTGAGAGCAATAATTCTAGGGTTAATATTTAGGTGCATCTCTAAACTGATGACCTGTAGGGCCTTTTAAAGCCTCGTCTATGGACTTTCTGGGGTACTGAAATTTGTCGCAGTTTCAGTCGCACACAATTTTATATTTACAAAAAAAGGTTTTATATAGTAAAACATTTTCAACTGCCACCATTTTATTCTACAGGGTCTTGGCTTTTAGAAAATATATAATATTTCAGGGTTTTAAGTAATTTTTAGGCCCAAAATTTGGATTATAACATGTAAGCAAAAAATAAACAAAAAAAAGCCTTGGTCCTTAAGGGGTTAAAGACTAAACTTATTAAACTTTGCAACTTAACTCACTAAACTTAAACACTACAACTACATAAAAAAATATTTATAAAAAAACTGCAACTTTGCATCAGATACTTAATTTTCCTGTGCCTTTACCTACATTGTTTTAAATTGGTGACACAGTCTCTCTCAAGAGTTCTTGACAAGTGTCAAAAGATTTGAAAATGGCAGCTCCTTGGAAGACAAGAGACTGTATACTTACATGTCCAGTGCTTAGGCACGGTAAACTCTTTTGAACTGGCTACACATTCATCTTAGGTTTCAGATACTAACAATATTTCATGCAATATATTTATATTTGCTAGCAATCTGATGGATATAAACCACAATATAAAGCAGGATAATGCACTCCACTGTTATGGTAAATATTATTTTTAACTTACTCATCTTGTTGACCATTGGTGATATGATGTAAATGATTTGCACCGCCATCAGCACAGGCTTTGATTACAGCTACAAAAAAAAAAAAAATTATGAATTGTTATGAAATCCAAATTTTCTGCATGTAACATGGCTGATACACACATTACACTCTTCACGACAGAAGCTTGGTGAAGACAGTCAATGCAGCCTTGTTTGCAAAGTCAGTCAAGGTAAATTCGGGATGATCAATGTAGTTGCTGAATATTTTGTATTGTATTTAGTTCGATACATTATGACATATAATCCACCCCAGACAACTGTGTGTATTCTATCATTTATACAGACTAAATCATTTTTATTCAAGTTATATATTTGTTACAAAACTAAATAAAGCTTCATTATTTTATTAACAAAAATGTGTTAGTATTTTCTGATACAACATGCCTCAATGTTTGTCCACCATTATCTTAAGAGAAACCTTTTTTTTCCCCCCACATTCCTTATTAGCAAAAATGTATCTTATTTGTGTATCACTTGGCTGTAGATCCTCAAATCATCTCTGAATTGGTGCTGACACTGTCCTTCCTTCTGGAGGGTGGCTACTTTTGTTCCCCATGGTGCCTGTGTGTGTTGTAAAGAAGCCACCACTCTAAGTTTGTTCTGTGATAGCCTATAACTCTAAGGGCTAGTTCACACCAGAACTTGAGTCTGCACAGCTGCGGTGTGATGCGCTTTGCCACGCTTTTGCCGTGATTTTACTATGAGTTTTTTGGGGGTTTATTCACTTAAATGGGATTGCAGGTGTGTTCCAATGCGTTTGCATGCGTTTTGATGCGATCCGATGCAGCTAAAATAGGGCAAGCAGTATTTTTTCTGGCTGCATCGGAACGGACTGTTCTGGTAGTTAGCAGAGCACAAGGAATACCATAGGAAAGCATTGTGATGCATATTTGATGCAGCTGCAAAACGGAACGGCCTGCATCACAACTGCATCTGGTGTGAACTAGCCCTAAAACTAATTAGTAAACTAAATGGGAGATTGTAGTCCATCGTGGGAGTGAGATTGGAGTGGTGGCTACTTTACAACAAACACGAGGGCCATGGAGAACAAAAGTATCCACCCTCCAGAAGGAAGGACAGTGTCAGCACCAATTCAGAGATGATTTGAGGATCTACAGCCGAGTAATACACAAATAAGATACATTTTTGTAATTAGTTATGGGACATGAATGTATTTTAAGATTTAACTCCTGAATTTAGTGTCACTTTAAGCTTTAAATGTGAATCTATAACAAGGCATTATGGTGATAAGAAAAGTCACAATAGTCAACAAAGACCCACTACACAACAATTAATTTGCTGCTCAAATTGTAAATTTGCCTGCTGTGTCTTTCAGCTAACTATTAACCCTTTCGCTGCCAAGGACGTACGTCGTACGGAGCTACAAAAGTGCTTCCAGCTGGCCAGCTCAGTACGTCGTACGGACCAGGCATTTACAGTTCTACTATAAGCTGATGGTAGAACTTATAGTTATATGGTAGAACTTACAGCTTATAGTAGAACTGTTCAGCAGACTGTCCCCTTTAAATTAATAGCTGTCATCAGCGGCTCACAAGCCGCTGATGACCGCTAATTTTAAAAATACCGGGCGCCCCCCGCGCCGGTTGTCCCCAGTTATGAATGAACAGGCTGCGATTTACATCACAGCCTGTTCATTGAAGAATTTATGAATGGGGACTAGCACTCACTACAGAGGCTCCTCCCCATTCAGAAACTAATGATAGTAAAATACTGAGGCTTCTCATTCATTGAGTGCTGGAGCTGTCAAACGCTAGCAACGCAGCAGTTGAAAATCAAACCAATAGGAAAAAATTGCAGAAAATTCAAAAATGGCTTGGCCAGCTGATTAGAAAAATGTTCCGGAGGGCTTGGCAGCGAAAGGGTTAAACATTTCAGCTCTTCATCTCATTCACTAAGCTAAGGGACAATTCCCTTGCAGAGTGCAAATTTCCTTGCAAAGTGAACAGTCTACCTTTAGTAAATCAATCACGATAGATAGATAGATAGATAGATAGATAGATAGATAGATAGATAGATAGATAGATAGAACAGACTATCATTATTGTGTTTTTGTGAACAATACTAGTGCATTGCTTTGTATGGCAATTTCCGGTAAAGGTTTATTACCTCTCATTGATTGTCTGATTGCATACAGAACATTCTGAATGATATGGGTTTATTTATCTGTCTGACTACAGGCTTGCCTTGTGTCTTCAATTTGTTTGTAACACACTGTGATTTATAAATAAAACTACAAGAGATGGGACACTGATACTACTGCCAGAAGTTCACCGCATTTGATTTTGCACTTAAATCTCAGATGTTTCTACATCCCAAGCCGCTTGGAAACGCAACTTTAATAAATCTGTCAACATAAATATAACCTGTCGTGGAAAAGGTTGTGTGGTTTTCTTTTCCCTTCATTTTCTCTGAACTGAATAGTGGAGTATAATCAATTGATTCCTGACAGAATGAAGCCAAGCAAACAAATACACAGCGCTGAGTTTTAGCAGCCTGATGAAAGTTCTGTTTACAGTACAATTCTTTGGTCCTTGATCTATATCACTTGCTGAATAGAGCCAAATGCAAGTCAATGACAAGAAAGAAGAGATCAACCTAAAAAAGTTCTAGCAGCATAATATTTTTTTTTTTACTATAATTTGTGACTCTGCTTAGTATCA